CTGGAACATTTGTGAGCCCTCCTGGGAGAGCTGCATTATTCCTGTTCACTAGAGAAGGGACCTACAGGTTCAGTGTGTGCCAAGAAAACAGTGCACTACTCCCTTTCTGGGTCAGTCTCCAGCTCACCAACACAGATCCTGGATTCTCAGTCTGTCATTAAGATAAGAGACAAGCAATATTTAGACTTCATTAGGATGCATCCCCAGGTGCTTAGGGGTCCCTGGCCTGCTGAAGGTGCTCGTTTTCCTCTGGCATCCGCTCTGCACAGAAATCCGTGTTCCACCCCTTCCTGTCACAATCACTTGGCCCATCTCTAGTGAAGAGCTTTGCCACGGTTGATAGGCTGCTTGCGCTTGCCATCACTTGGTGCTGAGAAATGTGTTTTCTTCAGCTCAAAGCACTGACTAATGGATGATTCTCCTCTTGACCTTGTGCTTCCTTCTCAAACAGCAACAGGTAGACACCAGTCACCATTAGCCTTTCTGGGTGAGACGTCTGTTCCATTTTTCCAGAGAAACATTACATGTTCTGCCAGCCTTTCTGAAGGGAGAGGTAAAAATCCACCACTGCACCAAGCATCCCTTTGCTTGCCTCCTCTATACATCCCTCTGTGTGAGCCCAGAGAAGTGTTGGGACATGAACTGACAGTCTGTAGTCACAGCTGCAGCCTTTCCCACACACTGCTCACTCCTGCACTCAAGTCACATTCATGCCGCCACCGGATTCCACTGGCTCAGCAGTAGGACACCCCGGATCAGTCTGACTCCATCTCCTAAAACAGCAGGCCGTGATGCCAATGACCTCTCTAGTCAGAACTCTCTAGTCTGCTGAGAGAAGAATTTGAATCACTTCATTTTCCTCTCTCGCCTGACAGGAATTTACTACAAAAGAATCAGGAGGCTCAAGCTGGGATAATTTTGAATCAGCTACCACAAAATTTCCATGGAAGAAAAGTATTCTCGAAAGAAACTAGCAATGGAAATGAAAAGTGGGGAAGAGAAGTGCATCACCCCTGTAACCATCTCTACATGCATCATGAGCAGAGGAGAACAGAACTCCTTGCGGAATACGAGGCACAGAATCAGGGGATTTTAATAACTAAGTCTGATGTGAAAGTCACTGATAACCTGCCTCCCTTTGTTTTGTCATATCCGCTCGGCCAGTGAAGTGTGACATTGCTGTATCACAGCATGGACACGAGCGAAATGACGACAGGAACAACTGAAAGGCTTAGCCACATCCTCTCCGCTCTGCAGATCCCCTTTCGATCTGGTGCTGATACTAACGCATTAAACAGTAGACTCAGTCCCTTTCCAGCCATTACTTTTTCATTATGGAAGAACGCAGTGGCACGGATGCAGTTGTGTCAAGCGAAGGAAAATACCTTCCCCAGCTGCAGTGCACTAATTGAAGCTTACACAGGCATCTCTCATCCACAACGGCTTCCACATCCTCCTTGCTTTCCGTGATAAGCCCTCGATCATCAGTGCTCTGAAACTAATTGAAACTCACACTATAATTCAGCGCCACATTAGGATTTTGTAACTACCACCAATGATTTGCTGGAGGGGGAACTAATGATGCTGGGCTGGAAAAATACAGAAGTGGGAACTCAGCCATTTGAACAAAGGAGAAACTGGGAACAAATAAGCCTGAAGCATGCAAGGACAGTGGGAGAGGTGATCAAGAGGAAGTGAGTCACAACTCTGGATAGGGAATGCAGGAGAAGCTGGAGTAGTTCTCCCATAGGCAGCCACAAGATAGAGAGGCTACCTGAATCCCTGGGGGTCAGGTTAGCCACTTCATAATGTTACTCTAGCACATGCATACATGAACAAAACTAATCAAAGCACAGACTTAGTGAAATATCCTAAATTACTATCGTAACTGGGACCCTCTAGCTGAAGTGACGGGCTCAACAATTCACTTCTTCCAAGCTAAGGGTGTCACTGGTTTTGATTCCCAGGTGGTCTTTAGGTTGATGTTTAAATTAATTTAAAATCCTGGCAAAAAGACAAGTGTCCCAATAAATATTGCTTTTACTCAACCTGCCACCTCTCCAGTGATGGCTTGTGGAGCTCCTAGTCTACATTATCAGCTTCACACACCTTTGAGCTTCTCCACAGCACAGGGCTGATGACAGACCAGATCAGAAAAGGCTTGAATTCAGTCAGAAAACTGGGCTTTTCCCTAATGTTTATTTGCCAAGGAATGCTTCCCTCCCCACCTTTGACTGGTTTGTTAATGTCCCACACCAGAAGCCTTAGTTATGGCCCACATCATTTTTAAATATAAAGCATCATTTGTGTGACATCACAGCTGGTCAGGTTGGCAAAGACAAGCCAGAGCAAAACCCCCAGAGAGCCACTCAGACACACTATCTTAGCTGTGGCTAGGGCTGCAGGGGTCTGAACGCAATGGCTCCAATTGCCATCTCTGAATGCCACAGGGCAAATTTTAAACAGATTCTTCCACTTGGCCCCGAGGGAAGTCGCTCTGGATTGCTGCCCCATGGAGAAGGACGGCAAAGCAACAGGAATAGAAACTGACGGGGCAGCGAAAGACTAACACTGGAAACGCACCTGAGGTTCCACACAAAAAGGCCTGTAACTGGGCCACATTTCCCACTGAGACACATGAAGGGTGGGGGAGGGGGTGCTCCCTTTTGTGGCACCCAGCCAGCCATTTAGCTACAAAATCCCTGTTAGTAGCTGTTCTCTACTTGCTTTATCTGTAAAGGGTTAAAAAAGCCCACAGGTAAAAGGAAGGAAGTGGGCACCTGACCAAAAGAGCCAATGGGAAGGCTAGAACTTTTTAAACTTGGGAAGAAACTTTCCCTTTGTTGGTCTGTTGTTCTCCAGAGAGAGGAGACACAGAGCATCAATGCTGTAAGACGCTTTAAGCCAGGTATGAAAAATCATCAAATCATACCTCAAAACTACTTCTCTGAAACCCCAGATATGTAAGTAGATCAGGGAATGTCTAGGAAGACACAATTAGGTTTATCTCTTTTATTTCTTTATGGCTTGTGGATTCCTCTGTGCTAACCCCAGGTGCTTTTGTTTTGCTTATAAACTTTAAGCTGGACCTGAAGAAAACCATTCTTGATGCTTAATTATTATATTCGCTCTTTTTAAAAACTAGCAATAGTCTACGTTCCAGGTGTATTTTCTTTCTTTTTGTTTTTTAATAAAATTTACCTTTTTTAAGAACAGGATTGGATTTTTGTGTCCCTAAGAGGTTTGTGCACATGTTGTTTAATTAGCTGGTGATAACAGCTGATTTCCTTTGTTTTCTTTCTCAGCTCTTCCGGGGGGTGGAGGGGGAGGGGGTGAAAGAGCTTAAGGGTACCCCACAGGAAGGAATTCCCACGTGCTCCTTCCTGGGTTCTCAAAGGTGGTGGGGGGGGGGGGGAGAAGGGAGGGGTTTGCACTTGGGTGGTGGCAGCATCTACCCATCCAAGGTCAGAGAAAAGCTGTAACCTTGGGGAGTTTAATACCAGCCTGGAGTGGCCAATATTAATTTTTAGAATCCTTGCGGGCCCTGACCTTCTGCACTCGAACTGCCGAAGTGGGGAATCAGCCTTGACACCCTCCCCCAGCCCCCAATCAGAAATACTGACTACAAAAATTCTAGCCCAACTCGGGCTCTGCGCTTGACCCAAATGCTTGCTGTTTTCCAAGAAAAATCCTGTTCCCATAAGTTCAGTATCCCGCAGGTTCTGCTGCGTAACAGCCTCAGGGCTGTGACACAAAATCCACACACAGGATCATGACTCAGATGTACCCGCAATGCAGCTCCTTCCTCCCCACACCCATCTCAGCAACTGCAGCAGCAATCATGCCTGCCTGAAGAACACATCGGTCCTGCACTCCTCCTTTACCATCTTCCCCCTCCTTTTACCCAATTGCTCACTCAGTACAACTTTTGTCCTGGCAGGGGTTTTATCTGGGTTTTTTTGTACCAGCCTCTTCAGCTTGAAGGAAACTAGGATCAACACAGCTATGAGAGAAGCAAAGGAAACAGAGAGCGTTTGTCCCCAGCCAAATCAAATGTGTTACAGTTCAGAAGGTTAGAGGAATTCACCAAAGTAAGCTAAACACTTTCCTCTGACAAATCAAATGACAGGGAATCACACTTACTGTGGAAGGAGGAGAGCTCATCTGATCAAGCTGGAGCATTGCATGATGGGCCTGTTGTCTCTATGGGCAGCATATTCAGGATGAAGGTGGTTGCAACCTGTGCTATCTTATACAAATTGGGTGCAGCTCTGAACTCCTGGAAGCTGCCAACATGACATTTTGTGGGGCAAAACCTGAATGTCCTTACCTGAAACGTAAGGAGTCAACTAAAAGGGTATTTTGGATCATTCCACAAACAAAACAACGTTAAAGTAGAATTTGTAATGTTTTGCAAATGCATAGAACTCTAGGAGTTTTAGTCCATGGAGTGAGACTCACAAAGACAGAAGTCCCGTAAAAAACAAAGGGCTTTGTGACTCACTGGTGATGGTTTTGTAATTTGTTGGGTAATATACAAACCAAAAAGAAAAGGAGTACTTGTGGCACCTTAGAGACTAACCAATTTATTTGAGCATGAGCTTTCGTGAGCTACAGCTCACTTCATCGGATGCAAACCAAACTTTCTGTGATTACATTTCCCTGCTGCCCAAACTCTAAATGCCCTACCTATCTCATCTATGGTTGTGCAGGGCAACAGGGAGGGTCAGCAGCTGAAGGGCCTGGGGACAGGTCTGTAATTTAGTTCAGCACATGTGGCAGCTGCAGTCACAGAAACAGTTAGTTACTCGCACTGGAAACGTTTATGGCTTTGGGGAATCTCACAGCTCCTGGTGGTCACTGTGTGTTCTTATTTCATTTCTCTCTAAAGCCTTGCTCCCAATTGCAGAATGGAGTTACGTCATATGTGACAGAGTTTGAGAGTCCTAAGTGATTGTAGGCTGGGGTGGCCCATCCTCAGGATACCCTTCTTTGCCTACCTAAGCTGTGGCCATTCTTTGTGTAGAAGCAGGTGTTGTTGATGAGGTTGACGCAGCAGCCAATCACGTCTCCAGTAGTGAAGGTGGGGCCATAGGGCTGCCCTGTCCCAGAAGAACAGAAGGAATGCCCGTCGTCACCGTGGTAACCATACGAATGTTTATCCCAACCTGTAGAAGGAAAAAGAGCAGATCAGTAATGAGGGAGGTTTCCAAGGAGCTGTATGCGATTATTGGAGCTGGGTGGGAAACAGTTTTCCCTTCCCAGGAAAATTTTCGAAATTTTGAATATTTTTCCTGTCCCAAGGAGGGATGAAAAGTTTAAATCTCTAAAATTTTCACAAATCAACAATCCAAAAACCATTTCAGCTAGGGTCAATCCAGACGTCTGATTTTGAGCTCAACCTTTCAGTTAAAAAAAAATTTACTTTTTTTTTTTTACTATAATTAGCTCAAATTTAAAAACAAAGTAATTTTGAACCAAGCAAATTGAATTTTTTGTCTCAAAAGTGCTGAAATGGGCAATTTTGACAGTACAACCCCAACTCATACAATGATTTGAACCTGCTACTTCATGCAGATCCCCCCTTATGCACAGGCCTCAAGGTCAGGTGCTCTCTAGGCAGCGGAGAATGTTATGGCTGTTCCTGACTAGTAGGAAATGCAGTCAAGCAGCACATAAATAGCCTATCCCACTCTCTCAGCTGCACCTTCCTGGATGGCTAAGCATGCTGCATACAGTACTCTGAGCCCCCTTCAGCTATGGCAGGGAGCCTGGCACCAACACCCAAGGTCCTGTGTGGTGACAGAACGAACTACTGAGTAGGGCTGGTCAAAATTTTTCCATCAAAACTGGTTTTCAATAGAAAATTGGATTTTTTACTAAATCCAAACAATTATTTTTTTGTCCAAACCCTAAAATATTCCAGTTCTGAAATACCACTGAGTTGCCTCCTGTGACTTATAGTTTGGGTACCTCATGGTCCCATTCACCTCTGGGGCAGTCTCCCTTGCCACACTTCATTTCCCATTATGCACTGCCTACACCATGGGGGGCACCAGGGAGTGCTGCAGGAGGTGTAGCTCAACCAGACAGGTGGTCTCAGAGAAGAAGTAGAGAGTGATGCATCTGAACTATAACTCCCATGATGCACCACAAGTTTTCAGCCAAAATATTTCAGGTTTTGATTTTTTTTTTGCCAAGTGCTCAATTTCTGAGACTTGTTTTCAGCCAGTTCCACTACTGAGGCAACAGGTCACCAACTGTTAAACTCCTTCATCAACACCCACGCTCAGTCGGTTTGTCAGTACAGCACTATATTGCCAAATGGATGCAGAACCCCGTTGTGTAGCCTCCAAAATGTACCCTAGTGGAGAGAGAATGGGCACAGACTCATAGATTCCAAGGCCAGGAATGACCCTTGTGATCATCTAGTCTGACCTCCTGTACAGCACAGGCCAGAGACCTGCCCCCAAATTATTCCTAGAGCAGATCTGTTAGAAAAACATCCCATCTTGTCAGGGATGGAGAATCCACCACAACCCTTAGTAAGTTGCTCCAATGGTTTATAACTCTGTTAGAAATATACCTGTACACCTTATTTCCAATCTGAATTTGTCTAGCTTCAACTTCCAGCCATTGGATTGTATTATATCATTCTCTGCTACATTGAAGAGCCTATTAAAGATTTGTTCCCCATGCAGGTACTTACAGACTGTAATCAAGTCATCCCTTAACCTTCTGTTTGTTAAACTAAATAGATTGAGCTCCTTGAGTCTATCATGGTATGTTTTCTATCCTTTAATCATTCCTGGGGCTCTTCCCTGAACCCCCTCCAATACGTCAACACCCTTCTTGAATTGTGAACATCTGAACTGGACACAGGATTCCAGCAGCGGTCGCACCAGTGCCAAATACAGACATAAAATAACCTCTCTGCTCCTACTCGTTATTCCCGTTTACGCATCCGAGGATCGCATTAGCCCATTTGGCTACAGCACAACCCTGAAATGTTTTTCAGAGTCACTCCCTCCCAGGGTAGAATCCCCTGTGCTGTAAGTATGGCCTACATTCTGTGTTCCCAGGTGTATATACATTTACATTTTGCCAGAGACCAGCTTACCGAGTGATCCACATTGCTCTGTATCAGTGACCTGTCCTCTTCATTAGTTACCACTCCACCAATTTTTGTGACATCTGCAAACTTTGATGTTTTTGGGTTTTCCTCCAGGTCACTGACAAAAATGTTAAATAGTGTAGGGCTAAGAACCGATCCCCATGATACCCCATTAGAAACACCAGCTCGATGAGATTCCCAGTTTACAACTACATTTTGAGACCTAACAGCATCTTGGAAGGGGACACGAACATGCACATGAGGAAGGGCAGACGCACCTCTTCCAGCCAACTGATTACCTGACCAGGCTCAAAAAAGGTTCTTTCCACTGCAAGTGCAACCATGGCAGTTTCTAAAAGAGCAAGGAGGAAACATACTGACAAGAGAGACTTTGCAAGACCCAGCCTCAGGTCCTGGCAGTGAGATGTCGGCCTCCAAACCAATGGACAGACGCCAAACCTTACACCAGGGACACCAAACAGCCTGTAGCACAGGCATGTGGAACTCCGGATTCATGTCTTTAGCACAGTCAATGTTCCCTTTAACTGCGTTTCCCCACTGTACCTTTCTTCCAGCAGGAACGCACAATGCATCAGGAAGAGGTTTGTGTGTGAAGGAGGGGTGGCGGGACGGTGTGCAAAGCACACAAATGCTGCCCACTGCACAGTGTCTAAAGGCTCTAATTACGAGACGAAAATGCCAGCAAAACCAATTAGTGCCAGTCAAAGCACACTAACCGGTTTCATAATTGGTTCCTTGTGTTTTGAAATGCAAAATGCCACTGCAAAGTTTGCCTGGGCTGCTCCCAGAGCTACGCAGAGGCGACTAAATTAGCTAAAAGCGAAAGTGACTTCCAGGCAACACCTCGGTCTCTCTTTACAGGCTCGGTTTCTTTAACAAGCAGCACAAGGGAAACAGGAAAATAAAATTCAGCATGCTCAGCCCCTCCGTGGTTCTGTGAATACCACCTAAGCACCATCCCACCTGAGCAATATCTCCCTGTGAGCTCAAAGGGGATTTATGTTTTGCTTCTCAGACCAGCTAAGCACCATAGTGAAGCATGAAAAATGGGTCCAATTCTTCATAGTTTAAAGAAGCTGTAGCTTATGTAATGCTTCAAAGGTCAGTAAATCATCCTAGTTGCTCTTGGAGTGAGACATAATATTAGATCCTATTTTCTTGTGCATGCCGGAATCTGGCTTTCATGGGCATTCTGCCCTGGGGGGCTCTGACCGCACAGTATCGCTCAGACACTCCCTCCCTCCTCTCCTGTAGCAGAACCTGTGACAAGGATAACACCACCCTAGCTGAAGTGCTCTGCAGCCCGTCAGGACTGAGGCACTCTGCCCCCACTCCGCACTCCCATCCTCTGCACTAGGGAAAGGGACCTGTCTGCATAGAAAATGCACACCCTTCTCCATGGGGCAGTATAACAGCACTGATGCTGGACTACACAGCCTGCTCCAGACATGGTCCTAGCTGGAGCTTAAACCCCTTTAAAAGGGCAAAGCCTTGAGAGTAGCCATCAGTTGCCCAGGAGGTAATGGGGGAGGGAAAAGGTGGCTGAGGCTAATTTTGCTGTAGGAGAATGACAAGCTGAACAACGACCATCACGAGAGGAACAAGTGTTGAAAAGCCTGAGCCAAAAGAACAGCCTCAATCTAGCAAGACAGGGCCGGATCTTCAGCCAGAAATTTTGCAGTAAGCTGCTCCAAATGCTTCTGAGACAGAAGCCACTCGTAGCAAACAAACCTTTCACACCACAAAAGTGGCATTCAGGGGGCCAAGAACCCTCTGGCGATTGGAGCCAGGGTCTGGGAAAGGTGTGCAAGATCGAACTGTGGAGGTTCAGAGGGCAGGTGTGTTAGCAGGTAGAGAGCACTTCCTGCAACGAGGCAATGGAAGATTTCAAATAGTGCTAATTGTAATTTATTATCAGTATTACTGTAGCTCCCAGGAGCCCATCCTCAACCTGAACCCCATTGTGCTGCGTACTGTAGAGAGAGAGCAAAAAGACAGGTCCTGCCCCCCCACTGGTAAAGTTTACTTGTGTAAATATAAGACAAAAGACAACAGATGGATACAGATAGACCAGTGGGAGAGTACGAAGAAACAATGAGACAACGGGGGTGGCCAGTCACTGGGAGAGTTGGGGATACGATGTTTCTGCCCTTGAGGCTTTCTGGAGTGTTACATGCTGTGACACTGAGCCAGCGAGGGTTAAGCAACCAGCAGGCTAAGTGATCTAAAATCAACCTTTAAGGACATATTAGAGAATTATTGAGGTGGTAATCAGTACCACTCCTTGTAGATAGCTCCCAGACTGCTGCGCTGCACATCACAGCATGGGGAGTAGGTGGCCAGCCCTCTGTGGAGAAAGAGGTGATTAGGGACTATTTAAAAAAGCTGGACGTGCACAAGTCCATGGGACCGGACGCGTTGCATCCGAGAGTGCTGAAGGAATTGGCGGCTGTGATTGCAGAGCCATTGGCCATTATCTTTGAAAACTCGTGGCGAACGGGGGAAGTCCCGGATGACTGGAAAAAGGCTAATGTAGTGCCAATCTTTAAAAAAGGGAAGGAGGAGGATCCTGGAAACTACAGGCCAGTCAGCCTCACCTCAGTCCTCGGAAAAATCATGGAGCAGGTCCTCAAGAAATCAGTTCTGAAGCACTTACACGAGAGGAAAGTTATCAGGAACAGTCAGCATGAATTCACCAAGGGAAGGTCATGCCTGACTAATCTAATCGCCTTCTATGATGAGATTACTGGTTCTGTGGATAAAGGGAAAGCAGTGGATGTATTGTTTCTTGACTTTAGCAAAGCTTTTGACATGGTCTCCCACAGTATTCTTGTCAGCAAGTTAAGGAAGTATGGGCTGGATGAATGCACTATAAGGTGGGTAGAAAGTTGGCTAGATTGTCGGGCTCAACGGGTAGTGATCAATGGCTCCATGTCTAGTTGGCAGCCGGTATCAAGTGGAGTGCCCCAAGGGTCGGTCCTGGGGCCGGTTTTGTTCAATATCTTCATAAATGATCTGGAGGATGGTGTGGAT